GCCCCTCCTGTCCTTTTCTGTCACGGCTCTGGGGTTAATGGCCATGAGCCAAAAGCTGTGGAGGAAAGACCTTCAGTTGTGAGCGCTTGGTGCTTGGGCAGCTCTCCTGCATTTTTTTCTAAGACATTTTGCAGCAATTAAAAAGCTGCAGGTAAATGCCAAACCCCAAATGCTGGCAAAGGTGCCAGCTGCTCTGCAGTCAGGACAGACCCAGCCACTGACTCCGGGCTGACCATGTTCCAGCCCTAAATAGCTGCTTTTCAGGGACAGGTGGGTCACAGCAAACTTTATTTTTCTGGAAACAGCAAGCACATTGTGCAGGGCAGGCTTTCCAAGGATGCTTCCCACACCCTTTTCAGGAAATACCACGCAGCTCTCCTTCGTGCCATGCCAGTTTGGTTTTTTTTTTTTTAATTGGCATAAATGATAGCCTCGGCAAGGACACACCATGTTTTCCCTGGGTTGTCGGATTTTATTTTGAAATCGCTGCTGGTTTGATCTTTGCATCTCTCCACCCCCAGGCTCATTGCTCTCCTCTTGTGTTTCTGCTCCTGGTGCTTGCTCCAGTGCAGTGGGGTTTGCTGGGAAGTGAAAATGCAATGGGGAGGCTCAACCTGTGCCAGTCACAGCCAAGTCCTGGTACATCACCCCACCTGGGGGTGAAATAGAGAAGTCATGTTTGATCTGACAGAGCCACCATAGAGAGCAGACAGCAGCTGTCCCTTCCTGCTGACTCCCAGCCCCTTCTGGGAGTCCAGATGCAGCCCTGGAGCCATCATTCCAACAGGAGCAGCCGTGCTTCCTTTGGGGGAGCCTGAAATAGCCTCCCCCTGCATGGTGACAGCGCGTGCCCCACGTGGCACCGGTGTAACCGGCTCTTCCAAGACCTGCTCTTCCAGGGGTGGGGTTGGCTCGGCTCAGTTTATTACCAGCACCCTCTTGACTCCAATGCTTCTCCCTGGTGCAGTGCTCTCAGATGAAGTGGGATAGTGGGAACAACCAGGAGAGGTGGAAGGATTCCTATTTCACAAGTGGGGTGGGTGCCACATCCTGCGGTCCCCTCCCTGTCCCAGCACCCTCTCCAAGTGAAGCATTTCCCCATTCTACCACCCCTCACTTGGGCATTTCCTTCCTTGCCCTAATTTCCAAAAAAGCAATAAACCCCAAACCTATTTGAGATGGGCAAAAAGGCTTGGGTTTGTTCCTTTTTAGTTCAAGACCAGCACACAGTCAGTTATCTTTGATTGATTTCCCCACCCTATGAATGTGTGTGCTGGGCCCAGCAGTCTCCAGAGTGCCCTTTAGCCACCAAGCTTCAATTGTTTCTAAACTTCAGGATCCATCTTCTGGATATTTTTTCAGGCCTAAGTCCACAATGGGCCCTTTCTCTTTTATTTTTTATTACTAGCATTTTTACTAGGATGACATTTGAACTAGGTAGGGAAATCTTCTTGCCTGCTACAGCAGTACCTGACAATCAAGATTTAATCTTTCTGGAGAGGAAGAACTCATCAGATGGAAAAAAAATTCTGATATCTGTGAAATTGCAGAAAAGCAGAGCAGGAGGAGCCTGTGGGAAATCTCCAGCCCAGCCTGGAGCAGCACAGCAACTGCGCAGCCTCAACCATGGCCAGACAGATGTTGGTCTAATTACAGCTAAAACCTCTGGTGCTGGGGATGCTCTGTACCCCGAGTGTATCACTGCAGCCAGGCAGCCTCTCTAATCCCCAATTTAAATCCCTTTGGCTGCTGCCTTCAATGCTTGGAAGAGGTGCTGGATGGCAGAAAACCAGTGGCACATCCTCCATGGTGATCCCTGTGCTTCTGAGCTCTTCCACCCTGGCCAGAGCGCTTTTTCCCCTGTAAATTTCCCCATTTCTCACTGAGAGCTGCCAGAGATTTATAAAATGGGTGTTTCAAGAATTTGGAAATTAATTTCCTTGTACCTGCAGTGTTGTGACCAGGGCTGGGCACCAACACAGTGCTGCTGTTTGTCCACACCTCCTTGGGCCTTGCTCCACCTCATCCTCTCCTTCCTCTCCGTCATATTTTGTGTCACCTCTTCAGCCTGAAAGCTTAATCCAGATTTAGAAAGGGAAGGAAAAAGGCAGGGACAGGATTTTTCCAGTGAGCATGAATCTCCTGGGAATTCACCCAGGGCTTTCCCAGCTGCAAAGCTGGTGGCTGCTGCGCGCTGACAGCAGCGGTGGCATTGCCAGAGCCAAGTGCTGCTGTGACACATCAGCCATGGGGATGAAGCTCCACGGAGGCTCCAAATCTTATTTTCCACTGGCAAGTTTCACTGGCAGCTCACTTGTGTGCAGGATTTTGCCATTAATATCCCCAAAACCATCTGGCCACTAGTGAGTCTGGGGTTATTTTTGACACCAAAAGGGCAAGCAGAGAGAGAGGAAAAAAAAAGAGATTGTTTGAGATGGTGAATATAAATGTGTCGTGGTTTAACATAGTTAAAATGGAAGAATAGTCATTTCTCCTGCAGATTTACAAGTCCCTGGAGGAGAGCAGGGACTGCAGCCGAGAGCCATCGGGGTTTTGCCATCACTGCTGTGTGCTGGAGTGAGCCGGGGCAGCTGCCGGAGGACGCTGGAGGCATTGTGCTGCCGGACAGGTTTGAAGGCTGGCGTTAATGAACTGATGTTAATGGGCTGGTGTTAATGGGCACCCTGATGGTGAGAAGTCAGCACTGGAGCCGAGCCGTGCAGGGGCTGCAGCTGGGGGCTCTTCCATGTGGCTGTCACCGGAGAGTGAAGAGTCAAGCTGCAGTAACTCCCCGCTGCAGACAAGATCCTGAACCGCATTGCTTTAATTACGCCAGCGCAAATTTCATTCATTTGGTTAAGCCTGGGAGCTACAGAAAGAGCTATTTCCAGGTGTGCTGTTTAATTATTGCATGCCCTGGATTACCCACCGTGCACATCTGCACGGCCGGGGTTTGTCGGGCTCCCCGGCAGACCGGGACAAGTTCGCAGCCGTCGACACGGCTCTGCACATCCCAGCACACGGGCTCTGCTTGGGTCAGATAAATGGGTTTTAACCTGATTTGTGCTGTAATCTCCATGTCGACAGGCTCTCATCACGCACAGGATAAAACCCCAGCTCCTCTGGCTGGGGGTTTCACCGGGCAGCTCCTGCCAGCAAGGCTGGCCGATGGCTCCAAGCCAAGTGGCTTCCCTGTTCTGGCATCCCAGGGACACCTCTGAACCGTGGGTGTTTGCAAAACGGCTTTTGTTTGCTTAACTCCTTGCACTGGAGCAGGCAGAGGCACAGCTCCCACTGTCCTGTCCCTCCTCCACAGGCAGGAACAGGGTGACAATGCTGCTGCCCAGGGCAGGCAGCTCAGTGCCAGCCCTGCCATCCCACCCCTGGAAAAAATAGCACCTTCCGGGTGCATTATTTGTACTTTCCTTTTCTGAACGTGCCTTAAAAAGAAGGGCTTGGTTGTCAAAGGAGCAGCATTTAAATTACATTCTTCCCTGCTCGTCCAGCTCTTTGCTGTAATCTTACTGCCTTACGGAGCAAGGAGCGTGCGTGGGACGTGGTGGGATTTTAACTGTAATTCATGGACAGATATAAAATGCCAGGGTTATTATGAATTTTATTCAGGAGAGTTTAAATGTTACTGGTTCAGCAGTGCCTCTTTCCATGCTTCCTTTGCAGCAGCTTCAGTTTAACCTCTCAGTACATAAAATTTATGGTGGCTCACCGTAATTCTCCAGGTTTTCAAATAATCCCAGGAAAAGAGTTAACTGGAGCCTCTGCCTTAGTCTACATCCACTGCAAAGCATGTGGGGCCAAAGTCTTTCCTGACACCCCTGGTAAGTCCCTTGGATTCATCTGGGAATATTGCCACTCTGAATTTCAAAATTATGTCAGTGGGAGATGGGTCAGGAGCAGTGCAGGGACCAGGGAGCAGCAAAACTGGGGTCCCAGCATTGCAGTCAGAGTCTGGGCAAGGCTCTCACCCAGCTCACATGATGTTGCAGCCTGAGCTGGGCACATGGTTTTACTGGTACCAGTAACTATTCCCCATACATAGGGAGTTGTGGTGAATGGCCCTGGGATGGAAGGTCTGTGATGTAGCTCGTAGCTCGGTTTTGATGGCCATGATGATCACTGGTGAGCATTACAGTGGGATGTAGAGCAATCCCAAACATGGATTTAGCCTGATTCTCCTGGGATTTGCCCATTTTTTTATCACTTAGCACAGACACAATGAGATTTTGCACACACACTCCCACAAAGGCAACTTCTTTCCTATCTTCACTCTCTTCTGAAAAGCTTCAGAAAGCTTTTCCCACTGCCATAACCTAAACCCTCCCTGCTGCTGCCAGAGCTCATTCGCCCTTCTCGGCTCCCTGTGGGGATACTTTGCCCCTACTTTGCATCCCTTGCCGACATTCCTCAGACCTTCCCCGGCAGAGGGAGGTGGATGTTTTGAAACCAAAGGGTTTTCTTTCATCTATTCCCACCTCTCCTCTGGCTCTGCCCCGCTGCATCTCTCTGGACGTGCATCACACACAGAGCACACCCAGCACCCGCCAGCACTGCTCATCCATCTCACACACCTTAATCAATGAGAAACTTGAGGAAAAGCCCATAAACCAGATGGGAAGTGGGGATTGGATTTGCAATGTGCTGGTGCTAATGGAAACCATTCCTCACTGCATAATCAGAAGGAATGGTCACACACAACCCATCATTTCTGCCCAGGGTGCTCACAGGGCAGCCCTGTGAGGACATGTGGGGTGGTGAGCCCTGGAGGCTCCAGTGTCCCTGCAGTGATAACCCACAGTGATTTCAGTGAGCAACATCTTATGGTGAGAGTCACCAAACTCCCCAGTGCCTGCAAATTGTGGCAGCAAATTGTCATATCCCTAATGCCAGTACAACGCTGTTTGCACACAGAAACCCTCCAAATCCCCATTTTGCTGATGTTTGTAATTTCCTGGGATAAGCCTGCCTGTGGCACAGGGACTCACCTCCATCTGGCCCCTCCGTGTATTTGCTGCCTGCAAATGGGTCAAAGCCAGCCCAGTGCAGGAACTGCCAGAGGATTTTGGCCCTGTCTGATGCAGAACGGGCTCCCTATAAATTTCCCTTGGATTAGTCTCACGGGTGAGCTGGGAGTACTTCCCTATTTGCTCAGACTCTCACTAGCTCACCTGTCCAGTGGCAGGGCTGGTACAAGTGGGTGGCACCAGACTGTGATTTTCCTCTCCAGCTCCAGTGATGGGTTGTACTTACTGCTCCTTGGATGCCCCGTCAGCCTTGCACACCCAGGTAGGATTTGCAAATCTGTTTGGGGCTCGGGAAGGTGTTTGTATTCAGAGAGATGGGGTGTGGGGCTTGTGCCCCAAATACCAGTCAAATCTGGTCAGGGTCTGGAAAACAGACAACATCCACTCTGGGAATCACAGCCACCCTTTGACCATCCCAGCTAAAGCCTGTGGATGCAGCTGCTCAGTGTCAGGGCCCTGGGAGACAGGGCACGTTTCTGAAGCTCAGATATGATTCAGGTGAAGCTCTGGTGTGATGTGAGTGAGTGCAATGCCACTGAAACATCCTTTCATTTCGGTCAGCTCCCCGCCGGCCTGGGCCCGCGCTGGCAGGGGGGGCTGTGGAACAGAGAGAGCATCCCGGGCCGCTCCTGAGCCCGGCCTTTGTATGCGCCACTCCTTCCCCAAACAAAGCCCAGCTTCTGATAGCCCGCGAGGTCCCTGCTGTTCCCTGAATGGCATCCGTGGGAGGCAGAGTCAGCACTCCAGCCCGTCTGCCCCAGCCCGTGGCTTATCGTGGTGCCCCTCGGGTGTGCACGGCCAGGTTTATCCCTGTCCCAAACCCTTCCCCAGCAGCCAGTTCCTGCTGGCATTTCCCAAGCCCAGGAGCTGTCTGGGTTCTCCTGGGGGTGCAGGAGGGATGCCAGGGGTGTGGGGCAGTGCTGGAGGGATGCAGGGGGGAGGTGCGGTGGATGTGCCTGTGGGGGTAGCACAGAGGGGTGAGGGTGGGGGAGATGCCTGGGGGGATGCAGGGAGAGCGGGTGGGGGAGATGTGGGCAGTGCCAACGCATTCCAGGGAGACAGAGGGGGAGGGGGGCTCGGACTGGCTGCCCAGGGGGATGCAGGGGCTACGTGGGGAGTGGAGCCAGGGAATGCAGGATGGGCTGGCTGAGGGAATGCAGGGGCAATGTGGGGAGTCGCTCTGCGGGGTTCAGGGAGAACCTGCAGAGCAGATCTGGGAGGATGCATGGAGGGCTGCCCGGGGGGAATGCAGATGCACAAAAGAAGATGCAGTGCCGGGGCATGCAGGGGGATGCGGGGGCGATGCGGGGGCTCTCTCTGAAGGGTGCCATGGGTTACCTGAGGAGCAGAGCTGGGAGGATGCACGGGGGCTGTCTGCGGGGGAGGGAGGGGAGGTGCCCCGGGGAACCGGGAGCACAAAGGACGATGAAGTGGGGCGCAGGGGGAAACCCGGAGGGCAGTGCTGGGGCATGCAGAGGGACGCGGGGGGATGCAGGTGGTTGTTCACGGAGGAGCACCGGGGCGCGCAGGGGAGGATGCAGCGGGGACAGGGGATTGCCCGGTCACATGCAGGGGGGACGCAGAGGGTCTGTTCGGGAGCCAGCGCCGGGACGCGTAGGGGGAATGCTGGGGGGCACAGGGAGTCGTCCGGAGATACGCGGCGAAGGGACACAGAGCCGTGCACGGAGAGGTGCGCCTCTGCCTGCTGGCCCTGGCGCTGCCGCTGGCGCTGCCCGGGCGCGGGGCCGCCGCCGAGCCCGCCCGCACCGTCTACACCAACCACTGGGCCGTGCGGGTGAGGGGGGGCCCCGCCGAGGCCGCCCGCCTCGCCGCCGCCTACGGCTACATCAGCCTGGGGCAGGTAAGGGGCGGCGGGGCCGGGCGGCTCCGGGGGCGGGCAGGTGCTGGGGCACCGGCAGCGGGGGATGCGGGGCTGGGGGGTCGCACTGGGCACCGGCGGGAGCACCGGGGAGCCGCCGGCGGTTCTGGCACCGTGAGCCTGCGGGGGATCGGGGAGCTGCCGGGGGTCCCGCAACCGGAGAGGAGCCGAGGGTTCCGGGAGGCTGCCGAGGGTCCCGGGATCGGAAAGGCGGAGCGGTCTCGGGAAACTGCCGGGGATTCCGGCGCTGGGAGCCTGCGGCAGATCCCCGGAGTGGGGAGCTCGGCGCCGGGGAGCTGCCCGGGGTGTCGCGCTGGGACTCCCGGGACCGGGAAGCCGACGGTGGTCCCGGGACCGGGGAGGCGGCGGGGGTCCCGCGGAACTGCCGGCACTCCCGGGACCGGGGCAGGATCCCATGGACCCCGAGATCTCCCCGCTGGCGGAGGTCTCGCCGAGCAGCCCGGTCTCCCGGGACCGAGGCGATGCCCGGAGCGGGAGAGGAGCCCCCCGGAGCGGTGGGGATGGGAACGGGGCCGATGCGGGGATGCTGCCGGAGCGCTTTGGCCCGGGGGCGGGCTCCCCCCGGGTGGACGCCCCTCCTGGGGGTGCCCTCGCCCCGCACCGCTGGGGGGTTTGCACAAGTTCCTCCCACCCCGGAAAGTTGTATTTGTGGGTTTAACAAACTTTGGACTCTCTGGCCCGGGTTTTTATCGGAGATCCTGGGAACACAGAGAACTTTTGCTTTCAAAGCCCCGCAGAACACTGGTGTCTTAAAAGAGATTTTCCGCACAGCAGCTCGTTTTCCTTTCAATTTCTTCATCCTCTGCAATCCCAGATGCAGACTGGTGTCCTCGGAGTTTGTTCCAGAGTTTACTGCCATGGCGCTGCCCGGCGCTTTTTTGGCTGGGTGACACTTCAGGTTGTCCTGCTGCCCAAGGTGTCTCCCGGACTACAAATTATAACCTTGCTTTATATCGCAACCCTGCTTTTAACTATAATTAAAGTCACAGGGTGCTGCATAAACAATTTTTCTGGGGGGAGGCTGAATTGAGCACATTGTCTCCTGCACCCGTGTCTGTGACCTCCCGTGGGGGATAACCCCTCACATCGCACCCTCAGACCTGCGAGCTCAGCTCCCGTCCCACCAAGGGGAAAATCACATGTATTGTTCAGTTGCGTCTATCACAGGGCTGGGCGAAGGTGGTTGTGCAACCCAAAGAGCTTTTCAGTGTTTATCCCTCTTCAGGCAGAGAATATCTTGATTGAACTTCCCACTCTCCCAAGTTGCATCAGCCTAACGTCAGCTCCTGGTTTGGGGTTTTGCTGTGTCCCTTCCCTGCTGGAGCATCTGTTACCCCTCCCTCCTTCCCCAGCATCCCGGTTATGTGAGCTCATCCCCGTGATGCTGGAGGCATTTGGCCCATGGGCGCCATGTGGCTCCACTGGAGCATCCATCCTTTCCCCCTGAGCCTTTCCCCGGGGCAGCCCTGTGCAGGCTGGAGAGCAAGGCAAATATTTCTGTGGTTGCATCAGGGTGTTCCTGGCTCCCGCCTTTCCCGTGGATACTGGGAGCTGGTGCACCTCTGGGGCTCCCCAGCTGCTCTCAACGCCTTGCCTTCAGCCCTCCATCTCTCCAAGCTTTTCCCATTGGCTTTTGGGCTTTTTCTACTGGGTCCTGTCCAGGGTTAAACCTTGAGGGACTGCTTTCCCTGCACATGTGCTCGTGTGTGACATTTGCAGTGTTGTGCTCAAGGCTCATGGTGTGTTGAGCCTCGTGGGGACCTGGGTGTCCCTCTCTTCTCCTCCTGCATCATCAGCTTGTGGAGCTGCTGGTGACGGCACTGTCCCCAGCGAGGTGTTGCCTCCTAGGGGCCCTGATTCTGGAAAAAACCTGCTGGAAAACTCTGCCAAGGATGTTATCACCCTGGGAAGATGGTTGAGTGGAGTCCAAAGTGGTGAGGGAGGAGGAAAGGGGATGGTCACTGGAGGACCCAGCTGGGTGCAAGGAGACTCAGCCCTGCCTTGGTGACATCTTTTCCTTTGCAATGCAATCCTGCATGCTCCTGACACGGCACTGCCCGGGAAAGGCACTGCTGGGGTTGGCACACAGCTCTGAGCTCTCCCTGCTTTCCCGTGCCCAAACCACGAGCCAGGACACTCTAAACCCTTCTGGGTCATGGCAGAGTGACATTTCCCTCGGGGAATCACTTGCGTCAACTTCTATTTAAGTGAAGCAAACAACTAAACAAAAGAAACGGCTTTTACACCCTCGAACGCCTGCTCATTCCTCCCGCCGGGCTTTGTTCCCCGGCCGTGCCGTGCCGGGGCGAGCCGGGACAGGCCCTGGCCGAGGGCAATGTGGGGACGGTGCGGTGCCGGAGCCCCGGGCAGCACCGCTGGCCGGGGGTGATGGTGACCCCCTTCCCATCCTGGTTGCAGCGTTTATATGAATTTTTCCATGTCCAACACTAAGTTTTGGAAGGGCTGACACATCCTCAGTGGTCTCACCTGCAGTGCAGGAGAGGGATGGGATTCATTTTGGGCTGTATTTGGAGCTTTCCTGGATTCCTGTCATCTCACAGCTCTTGGCTTGAGCCTTACTGAGCTGAACACATCCGTGATCATTTGAGAATTACATTCCTGAAGGCAGGAGCTCATTGACTGGACCCCTTGTCCCTGATAGGAATGGGTGGTGTCCCCAGGAGGGGAGGGCTCACTGCCTTCTCTGTTGGATCCACCCTTCTGGAAGGCACCAGTGCTGGTGTAGCTGTACTTTGAACAGATGAAATGGTTTGGGTGAGATGGAGTTGCATTGTAGAACCCTTACTGAGCTGAGTGACCACGAGGAGGACAACAAATCCTTTTTCATTTAAAAGAAAAATGACATTTACAAGTTTTTCTCCTTAGAATATCTTACATGGAATAGGGCATTTAGAGGGCTACCAGGTTGTTCCACTGGGACCAACCTCTGCTCAGACTTTCAAGGTATTCCCAGCATGGGAAGGTTTTTCTTATTTTTCTGCCCATAAATCCCAGGAGGATAAAGAAGTGGGGCACAGAGTTCTTTTCCTGCTGCTCTGGCTATGTATCCCCAGAGCCTGTGATGAGATCATTACCTTCCCTGTGCTTTTGCTGCTTTGCATCACATGGTAATTTTGCATTTATTTGTGAAAAGGAAGGAAGAAATTCTTTACCTAGGGAGGAATTGTTTACTGTGGGCATGGTGAGGCACTGGCACAGGTTGCCCAGAGAAGCTGTGGATGCCCCATCCCTCTTTAAGGCCAGGCTGGATGAAGCTTGGAGCAAACTGGTTTAGTGGAGGATGGCCCTGTCCATGCAGGGGGTTGGAACTGGATGTCTTTAAGATCCCTTCCAATCCTAAACCCATTGCAGGATTTTGTGGTAAGCCCTGTACTCCAATTTCCAGGCAGGGTGGCCTTGTCAAGGTTTCCCTAAAATATGGAGAGGTTGAAGCACTCTCCTTCTCTTTTTTAAGTGCAAATAGATTTGAAGAATGGGTTTAAAAGGCAAATGTAGATTGCAATGAGCAACCTCTTTATGTGAATGTTAAAAAAAGCGCCCAGCTATGCTGTAATGTGAAGGGGGAAGAGGGAGGGTTTAAATTAATTTGAGTGGAAATAAATTATAAAAATCACACTAACAGCAGTAAAGTTGGTGAAATGACATCCTGGCATAAAAGGCAGAGCAAGACTAATTAAATATTTAGTGCTTGTAAGAGACACTGGCAGATCTCAAGGTATCAAGTGTGATAAAGATGTAAGTAGTTGTGATCTGCTTTAGCATCTGATCCAGACAAACCTGTTTGTTCCCTGCTGTTCCATTGCAACCAGCCCTGGTCTGGCCTCAGGAATGTCACCCCGGCCCCTGGGTCACACATGGTCTTAAAGATGTTGCCTTGTGTGTTGCAGATGGGTGCTTGTAGCATGGCCCTTTCTGGTCCTGTGAGCAAGACACAGGGAATGTCACCTGCTCCCAACATCCATGACATGGAATGTGGGTTTTTTTGGCGGGATGGAAAAAAACCCCAAACAAACTCAGACAAAAGTGAATTTAAAGCGAAGTCCCAATTTGTACCCAAATTATGTGATCTGGGAGCCACATACCAGTGAGTGCAGCTTTTGGGTCACTCCTGTCCCTCTGGCTGTGCATCCCCGTGGGATGTTTCACATGCAGTGTCTGGCTGAGATCCCTCGATTCATTGCATAGCCCCGGGACTTTATCCGTGCTTTTGGGATGAAAAAAGAGGAGTTGTGGTGTCTCCAGATGCCAGGCTGAGAGGGCCGGAGGCAGCACAGCCACCCCGGGGCTTGGCAGGGTGGTGTGGCTGGCACCGTGTTCTCCTGCAAATGCTGCCATCCCTCACTCCAGGCGATGCACATTTATATCCCAGGAGCATCCCGGGGCGGGCAGGGATCGCATCACCTCTCCTTGTGTGCAGCCGGGGCAAAGCTGGAGCGCCGGGCGGAGAAGGCAGGAGGATGAGGCACAGCTCCCCTGGCTGCGCCGCAGCTGCTGAGCTCATTTTTAGCTCATTATTTCTGCTTGGGAGCTGATGAAAGGCAGTTTTCAAAGATGCATTTAATGGGTGAAAATTCATAAAAATGTTTTCCGGGCTCTGTTGTGCCAGTGCAGCGTCCGACCACCAAGGCTGTTTGTCACAGTGGTGGCACCAGAGCTCGTGCCAGCATCCTGCATCCTCCCGAGCCCCAGGAGCTCTGTGGGAGTGAGGGATTTGGGGTGCAGGGCACGGCTGCACTGATGCTGCCAGTACAAAATGGGGGGGCAGCCACGGGAAAACAGACTTTAAAAAAAAAAACAAAACACCCAAACAACCTCTTTTTTTACAGATTGGAAGCTTGGAAGACTACTACCACTTTCACCACAGCAAGACGTTCAAGCGCTCCACGCTGAGCAGCCGGGGACCGCACAACTTCCTCCGCATGGACCCCAAGGTACAGGGCTGGGCACCCTGGTGTCCCCCAGCCCCTCCACCTGTCCCTGGAGAAGGCTGTTGGCTTGGTCTGGGTCAAGAGTGAGCTGTGGCATCTCAGGATGACATGTCACCCTTGAGCCACAGCCCTGCACACACGAGTGAGTCATCGGGCACGGGCACGGAGAGCCGGTGGTGAAAAATACGTAAAAGTGACTAAACACTAACATCTGCCTGCAAGCCGGGAGGAAGAAAAGGGGGAAAAGCTTTCCAGGACAGAAAGGCTGTTGCATGCTCGGGGTGTTGATCCAGTTGCCACAACACTTACTGCCTCAATGGTTGCTATGTGTGAAATCCTTGGCAATAGCTCTGCATTGCTTTTTTTCCTAGAGCAAGCATCCAAAGGGATTTTCAGTGCAGCTGAATTGACAAAAGTATTGGGGAGGGGGGGAAGAAGGCAAGGAGGGACATGGGCGAGCTGGGTTTGGGGTGGTGGGGAAGGGTTGTGGCTCCTCTTTGCCTGTCCTCCTCCCCCAGCTCCTTCTGAGCACTGTGACATGTGAGTTGTGCAGAGCAGGGGAAGGGTTAATGGTGGGAAGGTTTTTTTGGGAGAGGGGGACATAAGAGCAGAAAAAGCCATTTTGGTGAAGGTTAGGTGGCAAGCTGCTGGTGCCTGCAGCGATGCCTGGCCATCCCATCCTTGGGGTGCTCACACACCCTTGGGATGCTCCTTCCCAAGACATCTCCAGCCCACTCCACGCCCTGTCCCATCCACATCTCCCCAGACACACACAGCAGCCCTGCCCTCCCCAGGCTTTCCGGAGAGATTTGCTGTTAAATATTTGGACAAGGTCTGTAGCACATTTTTGAGGAGGAGGCATTCGCGTGGCTGCTTTGCCAGCGGGGGAAACCTCGGCGAGGGGAGCCTG